ATCATCTAAGGGTCTTGCTTGGGTTCTTTTTTTCTGCCAATTAAAGAAAATCTGAGCCACAGCAGAAATCAACAGGCAACAAACTCTATTAAAAATAAACAGCTGGGCGTGGTGGCGACACGCCTTTAATCCCAGCACTCGGGAGGCAGAGGCAGGCGGATCTCTGTGAGATCATGGCCAGTCTGGTCTCTACATAGTGAGTAGGGGCCATCTGAGTTTATGGGGGAAATCCTGTCTCAAAATAAATAAATAAATAAATAAACAAATAAATAAATAAAACAAAACAACAACCAAAAAGAAAACAACAAAGAAGTATACACACTCACACAGAGAAAAGCTCTCCACAAGTGGCCAGGGGATTTGGAAGCTGAAAAATACAAGGCCCCCAGGAGGACTTGGGCCTTTTAAGTGTTTTTGGTCATATAAGACAGCTTCCCTCCCCCAATTTTGGATTAATAAACACAAAGATAGAGTCTATAGGTCACAGCTCCAAGCTGAGTGAGTTATGGCCAGGCCCAGCCTTCTGTGTTATCTAAACTAGTCTGAACCAGTCAGGTGGAAAGGGGGCCCTGCTGGCTAGCGGGGGAGCCCCCAGGCCTTTCTTTGTCTCAGAACAAGAAGAAGCAGAAACTCATTTTTATTGCTCATCATTGGCCCTGTCTACTTGTCAGGGGTTTAGTCCCTCAGACCTGCACCTGCTACCTTGGTTCAGTAAACAATCTCTGCCCCAGGGAGAAATGTACATGACTTACACAGGGGTGCACTGTTTAGTCAAACTTAATTTCTTTAACCTGTATTTGTTTGTACCTATGTTTAGCAAACTGATATGTATTGCCTCTGATACCACTGGGGACCACCGGGAACTGAAACATACCTGCTTCTAGCATCCACCCAGGCCCCAATTTTTTTTTTTTTTTTTTTTTTTTGGTCATTTTGAGACAGGGTCTCCCTGTAGCCCCAGCTGTCCTGGAATTCACTATGCAGACCAGGCTGGCCTTGAACTCACAGAGATCTGCCTGCCTCTGCCTCCCAAGTGCTGGGATTAAAGGTGTGCGCCACCACGCCCGGCGGCCCAAATATTTTTTAACATTAGTAGAAGACCAGTAAATCCATAACTTAACATGGGGGCTTTCAGCCAAACTGCATAAGCCCCACCTGCAGGTACCCCTGGACACCTCAGGGAGGTGTCTTGGAAGGTTCCCACCCTTACAGACCTCCATCCTCCACAGCAGGGGGTGCTGTGGGGATCACGAGCACCTATCTGCTTTTTATTTTGTTTTGTTTTCTTTACCAGGGTCAGTTCTTAGAGCCTCCAAAAGGCTCACCAGCCCTGAATTTGGACTTTTAGCAATTTCTGCTTAAGGAACTCTGGCTTGATGTACACCTACTCCCATTTGCTTGAAGGGGCAGGGAGTGGCCCCTTTGTTTTGCTTTTTCTTGTTATATTTTTACTTGTGTTAGCACTTTACAAGTCAAGTTTATATGCTGGTCTAAGTCACTCAAGTTTGCAAAAGCCTCTCTTACTTTACAAAGATTATGTCCTACCATGGGACTCACCAAAGCCACTAACGCTCAATCCCAGTCCCGAGGTCCCTGATACATCAACCTCTTCGTCATCTCTTGGACGAACAGTCTCATCTGACCCAGTGAGCTAGGCATCAGACACCTATTCTCTATTTTTAGTTCTTTTATTATTATTTTTACCATATTTGTTTCCTCTTTCCTATCTGATTCTTTCCCTGGGATCCACGTGTTTGGATCCCAGGAAGTTCTTTTTAGCTAGCACAGATCTAACTTTTCTTTGTATCCTGCCAACTGTATTAAACAACTCAACATCTCTAGCTCATCTTCTCTTACATGAACAATTCCCACGGAGTAGCCCTCTTAGCCTTAGACACACTTTTTACACACACACAGCAGTGCTCACTCACCCTCTGTGGCAGCCTGTTGACATTCTCATCCCTTACACGCTATGCTTATGGACCTCAAAATTTGCTCTGACATTTTAGGGTGTCTCCATTTCACACACTGGACCCCCATTCATCAAACAGGACTGCTATCCCATACCACATAGAGGAAGCCAGCCTCACCAGGATCTCCCCCTCGGACGCTTCACCCTGACTTTCCCTCTGAGTAGAGGACAGCCTTGGTTGCCTGTCTCAGTACCCACTGTGGGGGGCAAGTAACCACTGATACTGCAAGAAGGCACACTCACTATGCCATACCCCAGAAAGGTAATCATATCGCAGTTCCTCTCGGGATGCTCCACCCTCAGGCTGTCCCATCTCGGCTACATGCCTTGCTGTCCATAGCCAGAACCATGCAATCAATCCTGTCAGACTCATCTTCACACCAGTCTTTGCTGTTATGTTGTGTGACACTGTCCTGGGGAGACATGAACAGGCGTCTACTCCTCCCAGACAGGGAACCAAGGACAGACCACCAAAATCCAACTTGGTGAGCCGATGAATTTTACTGAAGTTACTTACAGAAGTACGAGGGAGGGGTTTCTCATGGGAGCAGAAATGACTCAAAGTGCTGCATCACCCAAACCCACCCAACGGTGACAGCTCTTAAAAGGACACCTGGAACCCACTGCCACACTGCACAACGTACAGGCAACTCAACAGGCCAGAGCTCAGCTTGTGAGAGGGTCTCTCAGCCGTCCTTAGGCCCCAGACTCACTCAAGCTGGTGCCCATTTCTCAGCATGAGGCTGTGATGATTTTTTTTTTTTTTTTTTGCTTTAGGGGTTGTTTTGTTTGCTTTTTTGTTGATGGTGGTGGTGTTTTTTTGAGACAGGGTCTTATGTAACCCGGGCCAGCCTTGAACTTGCTATATACTTGAGGTTGGCCTTGAATTCCCGATCCCCACCCTCTGTCTCAAGTGCTGGCGTTACAGATATGTGCCATCACACCCGGCAACATTGTGATGTTTCTCCTATTTTTCTATGCTGTTTTCCCCCAACTTTTTCAGTAAAATCCCAGTGGAAAAGTCCCAGCCTTGTCTCAGAGGAGACCGGGGCACAAGGGCAGTCAAACTGAAGTCAGAAGGCCGCGAAGGGGGCAGTTGAGAGCAAGAGGCCTACCTAGGACACCAAGCAAAGTCCAGACCCAGCTCCCCACGACTTTGGGAGAGACACCTGCCTCTGAACTGTGTCTCAGTTTAATCTTCCGTAAAATGGGGTTATCGCTGGAATGAAATGGGTTCATTTCATCTGAGGACCTGGCTTCTAGGTAGGGAAGGGCGGAGAGAAGGCCTTCCACCAGGTGTTTGCCTGGTCTAGGGTTAAACACCTGGCCGGGAGCTGTCAATTTTTCCCAGAATGCTGTGTGACCCAGAGTGGAGCCCAGCCTGGGACTAGGTTGGTGGAGTCCACCCTCTGCCCCTGGCGGGCTGTGGAGTGGCAGAGGGGGCGGTGCCCCAGTCCCTCTGAGGTCAATTTGCAGTCGCCTCCTAAATGCTAGAGGTGGGGGTGAGGTGGGGGTGAG